GTCACTGTCAGTCTGCACATATGATTCGAAGACTGACAAAAAAATCAACAAACAAGACTTTGTCATTAATATAATCATAAAATAATTTATTTTTTACTTACATTTATGGTCCCAAAGTCTTTAATTCTCTAGTTTTCTTTAATAAGACACCAACTGCCTTAACTGCGGCTTTCAAAGCACATTTTCTGTCACTACGGGAAGCAGAATTCAGTCGCTAATTGAAGAACCAAACCGGAACGGACATACGGAATTCCGAATTGTTTGTTTTTTTCAAAGACGAATTTCTCATAAACCTACGCGCGCGGGTGATGTTAAACGTAGTTTTAATTTTAAACAGCCTTATTATAATAAAATTAAAAAATACCATTAAGTAAATCACAGTGACCCTCCTTTTGATTAAAATTTTCTGATGACTCAAGATACATTAATTGACAAAGTTTGATGATTCTAAGCCAATAAGTACCTGAAATATACAAAAGTAGGTCACTCTGATTTCTTCTTGGTCGACATTTTCCGATACCCTAAGATGACTCAACTGACAAAATTTGATGATTCGAAGCCAATAAGTAGCAGATATAATTAATAAAAGCCATAAAATGTCAAAAGTAGGTCACTGTGACCTACTTTTTTGGCCGATGTTCTTCGAGAGCCCAAGATGCCTAAATTGACAAAATTGGATGATTCTAAGCTAATAAGAACCTTAGATCAGGGTTCTCATTAGTTTTTACAGTAGGTGGAGAAAAAGAAAAAGTAGGGGGCACTTCAAACTTGAGGGCCGAAGGCCCAAACCGAGGGCCACCGCCCCGAGGGGGTGAGTCCGAGAGGGGGTTTCCCCCCTTTTGGCAAGAGGGGGGGTTCGGGGGTCCTCCCCCGGAAAATTTTTAATTCTTACATTGCAGGAGGTGGCATCTGGGACCTATCTGGGCATATTTTGACTTGTTTCATTTGCTCTCAATATTACACTTTTTAGGAGCCCATTTTTGTAAAAAAAAAAAAAAAAAAAAAAAATCACAGGAGTAGCACACAACCTATGATGATCTATAAAACTTCCTTGATTTTTGTAATACATGTATGCTGTGAATAAAGATTTTTTTTTTTAATGTTGCTTTTTTTGTAGCAGTTGTTTGATTGAAAACATTTAAATTGTTTAGATGTATGTGATACCAAAGAGTCTGAGTGTCTGCAGCTAATTAACTAGATATATATGTACGCTGTATTTTCAGAATTATTAAAAAAATATGCAAGTGTCATTGAAATCCATACAGAAAGTCACCCTTACAATTCTTTTGCAGAAAATAGTGATGCGCCTGTATTTTTATCGGTAGTTAGAATAATCTTACTGTGTCTCGGGACAAGGCCTCACCACAGAATCGTTCCGAAACGAAATTTAAGTATACAAAGGGATTTGCACTGGAAATAACTTCAAAATTAATTACAACAATTTTTTTTTAGGTTGCGCATGCCTTTAAACCTAAATTATAATCCAAATAAAGACGATAATTCAACTAATATTCTCAGCGGTTTTTTTCTGACACGCCATGATTGCTTTCGGAACTCTCTGTAATCTTTGGTAGATGCACTGATTTTGAGTTATCACCCGTGTTTCGATCGCGATTCCTGTATCATCACCACGTTTTTAAAAATAGGGGGTCGTAATCTTACAACAAGGAAAGCGTCAAATAACAATGATTTTATATGTTTACGTTTTTTATTCACTACGTTGAACAAGACAAACGGGATAACCAAAATTCTCTTGTGAAGCACAGATTTTCTTTACTGGTTTTTGAAAGTGTAATAACCGGCGCCAGTGTGTAAGTAGACGGCGAAATCGCCGGTCGCCGGCACTTAATGAGAACCCTGCCTTAGATATTCAAAAGTACACCACTGCGACCTTCTTTTTGATCGACATTCTCCAAAAACCCAAGATGCCTCAACTGACAAAGTTTGATTATTCTAAGCCAATTAGTACCTGAGATATGTAAATACAGCCATAAAATGTCAAAAGTAGGTCACTGTGACCCACTTTTTGGTTGTCACACACTGAAAACCCAAGATGCATCGACTCACAAAATTTGATGATTCTTAGCCAATAAATACCTAAGATACTTAAATAAAGCCATAAAATGTCGAATGTAGGTCACAGTGACCTAATTTTTCATAAATATGTTTTAAGGTCCCAAGATGCATCAACTTACACGGTTCGATGATTCTAAACCTCTCAGTGTCTCAAATAATGGGATTAAATGTTTTAGAAAGGATTAGTCATAAAGTTCAAAAAGTAGGTCACCGTGACGTACTTTTGGGTTAACATGATGTGAAGTCCTAAGATGCATAAACTTACAAGATTTGATGATCCTAGTCCTTATAGTAAGCAAAATATAAATGTTTGTATTAATTGTAAACTTAGGTCAACTTTGAAGTGACCTGAGACCACGTCCTTTGCCCCAGGGTAAATCTTCAACATATCCTGATCTTTGTATGTAAGTTTGGTGAAAATCTGCCTGGTGGTTCTGGAGAAAAAAGATTTTTTAGCAACCAGTACTTTGGGTTTTGTTTTCCTGATTATCTCCCCTGTTTAAGGGTCCAAACCCTTTATTTTAGTACAAATGGTAGCCCTTATGCCAAGGATACCCTGTGACAAATTTGACACTGATTGGCCAAGGGGTTCTTGAGTTATGGCCCATATTCTAAAAAGTTAACGCACACCACACAAATGGCCATAGCATTAGCTCTTTGAGCCTTTGGCTCAGAAGAGCTAAAGACATACAACCCTTCTTTCATCTACCCTTGTAAATTAAATCAAAGGATATAAATGCTACAGTTCGTAGATCATTGATCCATTGAAATATTACTAAACCACAAATATCATTTTTCTCTTGATGTTCAATATATTTGTATTTCAGACAAATGCCTCAATAGCCTCACACAATGAAGAGCCTTTACCCAGGTCACCAAACAAGAACTGTATAGTGAAGGGAAGTAACTCTCTATCAGACTCGTCATCAAGTGTCATCATCAATACACCAAATACAAGATTTATTCAGAAAAACTTTTTTACGTATTTTCCAAAATAAAAAGAGGTACATGGACAACATTGCTCACCTGAGCACTGTGGCTAGGATAGAAGCAAAAATCAAAAATATTAAAATCTAAAATGTATATTAAAATCTTAAATGTATAAGTGGTCCTAACCTACAACCCCTAAAATATGGGGGGGGGGGGGGAGGGGAGAGAGAGGTATGATTTGAATTAACTAGGAATAAACTGAACATTTTACCTCATTATCATATCAAAGTTCTGAATTTTTGTTAACCATTTATGCTTTATTTTGCAAAAGAATCTGCATAAACGTACAAACCTTCTCCATCTACCCTTGTAAATGAGATCACAGGATATAAATGCTACAGTTCTTAGTGCACTGATCCAATGAAATATTACTAAAACACAAATATCACTTTTCTCATTTTGTTAAATGTATCTGTATTTCAGACAAATGCCTCAATGGCCTCATACAATGAAGAGCCCAAACCCTGGTCACCAAACAAAAACTGTTGAGTGAAGGGAAGTAACTCTCTATCAGACTCGTCATCAAGTGTCATCATCAATACACTAAATTAAAGATTTATTTCGATGCTGCATCTTAGCCAGTCAAGTGTCCAATTTGTATCTCTCCTAGGTAGACTAGATTTAGATTGTGTAATACTACTGAAGGCATTCATAAAGTTACCATTCTTGGCAACAAAAACTATGTTTTAAAAAAAAGCAATTTACTGGACAAAGAAGAGGGGTTTGACAAGCTTCTGTGTCATGCAATTTGACTGGATGTCCTAGACCTTCAAAGTTTGAACTAAATCAGCCAAGGGTGATACATTGCAAATCCAACATTAGCTAGCAAATATGCCAAAGCTGTAAAAAACTTACGACTCTGACTCTTTTTCCCATGGCTGATGATGGCAGATTCTTCCTGAACTTAGCTCGTACAGCTCCGCTGTTTCCGTGAGATCGGGTGACTTTACCCCAGATGACTCTGATACGGCTAGCTTTGTCATGTCCAGGACATGCTGTCTTCCTGTAAACGTTAGAGATACAAGGATCCTACAGACCAATCCTAATGAGATAATACTAGCGCTCTTATTATGCTATGTTTTCTGACCAAAAAGAACAAAACGTCTCAATGCCAATTTGCTTTAATATTAAATGAAAATGAACAGTCAATTTAAACATTTTCACAAGTTCAGATTTTGAGTTACTTCAGACAAATGCCTCAATTAGCCTCACATTAGCGGAGAATTCCTCTCTCAACAGACACAACAAGAACTGTTCTGTCCGTGAGTGAATCCCAAATGTCAGACTCGTCATCGATGTCATCATCAATACTCAATAAATATTATCCCCCCCCAAAAAAAAACTCCGCACAAAAATATTGCAGATTTTCTCAGATATAATCATATTTTTTGAATGCTCTAGCTCATACTAGGTCAGAACTAACAAAACTACACTCTGATTGAAGATTTTTCTTTTTACACTTGATTTTCATTTATCAATTCACCAAAATGAGAAGGAAATGAAATTTTGAAGCTTTTGACTCTGAGAGGAAAACATGTTCATATCAGAATGTAAACCTTCCGTTTCATATCTGTTCTCAGGATAATATAAAACTCTGTTTTCCATACCTTTTAGCCTTGTAAACATATGCACATCTTTTGCCATAGTAGAATGGTGTGTCTTCCTTGCATGTGACTCCATCAATTTTCAAAAGAGCGGTGTTCTCATGTTGGTTTCTCAGTCCTCTCTTGTAACCAGTGAAGACAGCCTTACAGTATAACCTGTAATCATTTGTTATCAAGTCAACTGTACAGTACAACCTTCATGAGAGAACTAATTTTGTGTCATTTTTAAAGGGGAAATAAGCGTGATTTTTTTTTTACCTTCCTAATTTTTTAGGTGGATTTGCTGAAGGTGTATTTGCTTCCGCCATTGTGCTTTGTTATCTGTATGAAAAAAAAATCCCTTGTTAGATATGTTAAATATCAATAAATTCATTCAAATTTAAATTGGAAGGACCACCATAAACAATGGTATAAATTATGCTGTGCTAAATAAGAACAAAGTCGCACTTGCAGTGCTCCAAGTTGTGACTAAAATGGTCGCATTTGCGACCAAAAAATTGATTTTGCGACTAAAAATGAAAACACACTCGCATTTTCGCGACTGAGAAAATTTGGGCTGGAAACGTCCATTTTTAAGATCGGGATCGAGATTTCATTTGTAAAGATTCTCTATCAAGAAAATGTTTGAAGACATATACTTAAATACACTTTCCAAAGCGTCGCATGGACTTGGATCACATAATGTTATGGCAGCATGCTGTACAAAGTTTGATTAGAACCAGAGACGTGTATAAATAATGTTCCTGATAGAATGACATAGAAACTTCTTAAACTTTCTAAAATCCGACCTTGTTATTGAAGCATTTGGTCAATTGCTTGCGTATCACAATGAATCATGCTAATAAAGATTGTTTTGGCGGCATTTATAATGACTATGTAATGGGTTAGGTACGTAGTAGTAAGTAAACATGAAAATCAGCAGGCAAAGTCCTGTCTCAACAGCAGATGTCAAGCTTGTATTTTCTTTTGTTAAAATTTCCATTTCGTAATCAGATTACTTGTGTTCTTCTGTACAACCATAAGGGTACATGTATTCAATAAAAATAATTCATTCAACCTAGCAAATTTTTATAGTAACAGTAATAAGTAATCTTTGATATAATAAAGACATAATACACATCTTTATTTAAATTATCAAGTTTTATTCACAAAATTAATTTTTTTATGGCGAGTGAAATATTTGATTATGGCAACCAGAAATTCTGAAAAGGCGACCAAAAAAAATTTTAGGTCGCCATTTTGCGACCTAAGAGGAAGTGTGACTTGGAGCACTGACTTGGGTTCTCATTCCGTGTTGTCTAGATGTGTAGAGTTTTCAAACTGAATTTGATTATATCAAAATGTTTTTCAATATTTGAAGTTCATATTATTATTGATAATAGCAAGCACAGTTGCACTACTTGTCACTGCAAGCTTTTAAAACAATGCCTGGGCGAGAAAATTCGAATTTTGATCTGCAGTCACCTGCGGTCCCATAATCCTTAGAGCAATGTATCTCGCCTCAAACTACTTTCTTGCAGTAACAAGACATTCCAGGAAAAAAATAAACTTGGGTTGATTTTAATGGATATATCAGGGTTGTGGTTAACCACTCGCCCATTCGCCAATGCGATTAAAATTTCAAGTGGGCGATGAATGAATCAAAATTTGATCGCCCATATGGCGAGCATCTTGTTCCCGGAACATGACAGTGCTTTGTTTGTATTTTTATAATCCACTTCCTTTTTTTCATAACAAACACTACGCTAACCATGACTTTTGGTGTCATGTGCAAACTATTACATTTAAATACAACACAATCACTTGCGAGACCTAGACGTATGCCCTACTGAAGCCAATAATGTGGCGGTTTATTGATGGGGTAAAAAAAAACCAAAAACGTACTGCACAACCACAACGTAATACATATTTTAGCGAGTACGACTGCAACATGTGGGCCCATAAATCACATTGTTGGCCCCTAAACTTTGAAAAGTAAGAGGCCCACATGGCTCCTAAGATGTAAATGGTTAACCACAACCCTGATATATAGTAGATTATATGATATTATTAAAATTCGCATTGCTCAGACTTAGATTTGTCATGTATCGTCAAAGTCTATACGTAGCAAATGGCACGTGCGCTTTGTAGAGCCCGATCTAAATCAAAACTAAATAAGTGTAACAGGAAGGGAGAAAATGCATGGCAGGACCGGGAATCGAACCAGGGACCCCTGTATCTCTAGTCAGGTGCTCTACCAACTGAGCTATCCAGGCCGATATCCACGGCCCTTACCATTACATTCCTCCCTCCTTAAATGGTCTTCGCACTCAAAGACACAACCCAAGTTCTTATTGCCCCTGGCAGGACTTTCACCTGCAATTCCAGGGGTGGTCAACGGCACCAAATCTGTAACAGGAAAAGAGAAAATGCATGGCTGGACCGGGAATCGAACCCGGGACCCCTGTATCTCTAGTCAGGTGCTCTACCAACTGAGCTATCCAGGCTGATATCCACGGCCCTTACCATCACATAACTATCCGCACTCACTCTAACAATTAATCACACAGTCAATGTATTATAAATATTATCACATTATAATATGTTGATGGTGCAACCGTTAGAGCAAGCGCAAACTCTTCTATTGTTTTCATTTAGATCGGGCTCGTCAAACCGCAAGTGACATTTGGTGCGTCTAAACTGCTCTAACGGTGTCACCATCAACATATTACTAGATATTTATAATCAACATATTACTAGATATTTATAAACACAGCCACTGTTACACGCACAGAGACTGATCTTATTTTTTAAAATTTCATGTTACAAAGGCCATGATTCCAGACTTAAAGCAGATGCCAATTCATGTTTAACTTATGCAATTAACTTTCATCTGTCGTCAGAAAAAGAAAATATTCATTCAGGCTTAAAAACACATCAAGAACCCCCCCCCCCTCTTTTCCCATACATCTCTCTCAGAATATATATTCCTTTTAACCTTCACTTACAAAAAGAATTAAAATTACAGTTTATACATGCAGTCTTATAAATATTTTGTTATTCATGCTATTTAGCGTTTGTTCAACACAGAATTCTCAATTTCATGCCTTTCTCAGGTATTTCATGAACAATCTGTCAAAAATCCCACCGTAAAGCTATCATCAAACATTAAATTTATTATTTACAGATAAGAATATCTTAATTAAATATGGGCTCCTCACATCACGCAACATATCGTTGCACTAACTAGTAAAAGTTCAAAAATTTAAAATAATGTTAACTTTGTCAGTACCAAAACAACGACGGGAGATTGAAAAAGGAAGCGGAAGTTTACTTAGCCTTACCACATTTCCAAATATCTATGTAAAAAAAAAATCCTCAAAAAATAAAATTGAAATATGGTGTGTAGGAATAAATAGAATCTTTATAATATATGGGTAAAATATATTTATATTTTGAATAGGAAAACTTCCCTATATTATAACCGGAAGTATATGTGTAAATGAGGTCCATAGAAACACAAACAATATGGAAGTCGTCGAGCTGAACTGATTAACGAGAACAAATCAACACATAAAGGCTAGACAGCGAGAAAGTGTAAGAAATCACATCCTTTTAACTTTATTCAAATCTTTCCTTCTTTAAATTGACACACATTTGATGGAAGATCACAAATCCAGAAGTGATTTTGCGATTTTCCTTTGGAAAATATCTATATTGTGTAAAATAAGTTTAAAACATTTTCAGGAAAACAAAGACCATGGGCAAAGGACAACAAGGTAGTTACTGGTGTTTGAATAGCATGTATAGCGATTGTTTTGGCCTCATTGTTAATTAAATTGAGTGAAAAAATGCATAAATATTTAATAATAATGCAGGACTCGAAATTTTTAGGGGGGGGGGGGGGGGGGGGTCATATAGGCTTTTATTTGAGATTTTTACAGGTTAGCTGAGAGATTTCAATGTCTCATTGTGCTGCATGTAGTAGAGATTGAACAAAACTGAAGCTCTAAAATAGTATTTTAAAAAATCATAGAATATGTTGACAGTGCCAATGGGCGAATGCAAACTTCCGTTTTCGATTTGGCTCTTCAAATCACATGTGACATTTTGTACGTCTATAGACTCTGACGTCACATGATATAGTATGCAAGTTGCATTGCTAAAACAAAGTCTGAATGTTTTTTAAAATTTTTAAATTTAAGAACCCTTAATCTATTATATAACTGCCATCCATTAAATCAAGGTGAGTTTCATATTTTATGGAACTTCAAGGTGCAATGATAACACATATAGTTTTAATCAAGATGCAATTTGCTAAGCATTATGGGACGGTGGATATTAATCCCTCTGAATCATTTTGCAGAGTCTGCAAAGCTCGCAATGACAAGTGGTGCTTTTAGCCACTCACTGTGACCTCCATTAATTCAAAATGATATATGGCTTA